CTATTTTACTTACTGTTACCTTTTTAGTCTCCTATGCTGTACTAAGTCAATTTATACATAAACATAAAATATTAGACATGTGCCAAATAGTTACTTAAAAAGCTGAGTAAAATCAAGGATGATTTTTCAAAGTCCTAATCTGGAAGACAGAACACAATTATCAAGTACCAAGAGCAGTATAGCTAAAGAAGTTCCCAGCATGAGCATCTATTTATTACCAGGCACTTTTCTATTAACATTACTGCTGTGAGGTAAGCTAAGCTGGAGTTTTAATTGACTTTTCTGTGCTTTCTATCAAAAAGGAGACTGAGAACTAAACAGAAGGAAAAAAAAAACACAGCTGGGCTCTCCGAAGTCTGCTGCTAGCTGTCGAGCATCACCCCTGCCTCCCACACCTTCCTGTTCAGTATTCTGAACAACCAAAACCATGATGCGTCTAAATGGAACTAATGCCACCCCCATTTTTAGGCCTTAACTGGCTTAATACAAATCATCGTGTCTCACCCCTTTGGCCACAAGGATTGGCCCACAGAGAGGCATGTGACCAATCAGAAATGAGCACTTCATTGTTTCTGCTGGGAAAGCAGGGAACACTTCCTCAGGACAGCATGTGAAAATAGGATACAAGAAATATGCTGCCACTGCCCTCTACCCTACAAGGAGCTGGCTGCAAAAGCAAGCTGGCAGATGGAGGCAGGCAGAGGGGCAGAGCAGAAGCCTGAATGACACTGAAGCTCTGACTCAAACCAAGCTAGGGCCAGACCTACTTCTGTACTTTTAGTTATATATGAGCCTTCCCACCACCCCAAACCAATTTAGGCCAAACTTTTGGTTGCTTGTGAATGACACATACAGCCAGAATCTGAGGAAAGGATTCAGTGATGAATCCACTGACTTCTCATTGCTCTAAAGAGCCATTATTTGCCTCTAAAAATCAAACAAGCATAATCTCAAATTAACCATATCCCTTTTTTTCCTATTAGGTCTTTGGCCCATGGTGATGACCTCCCTGCTTTCAATGGCCCACGCCCACTTACCCACCGCCATGCCATTTCATACTGCTGGCTAACTAGATAGGACATAAAGTCCCCCGGCCCAGCACATCAGGTCATCATAGCTCTTACATGTGCCATGCTAGGGGCCTCTCCCATTCTGATCTCTGCCTACTGGCCCACTATACTCTTTTCTGGCCCCACAACATCAGGCCCTCCTGTTTCTGCGACCTTATACACACTATTCCTTTTTTCTTCTTTCAAGATGGTGTAACTTTTATCTCCTCTGTCATTTCTACTGTGATCATCCCCCATCCTCTGCACAGCCACAGTATTTTACAGATGCCTAAACTGCAGTTGTCACTCAGGGACCATCCTAAGGATTCTCTGCATTTCTGGTGCCTGACACTGTGAAGCATGTAGTAGGCATCCACTTGTGGGGTTTTTTTTTTTTTGGAGACAGGGTCTCGCTCTGTCACCAGGCTGGAATGCAGTGGCACAATCACAGCTCACTGCAAACTTGAATTCCTGGGCTCAAGTTATCCTCCTGCCTCAACCTCCTGAGTAGCTGGAACTACAAGTGTGCACCACCTGTAGCTAATTTTTAAATTAGCCACCACTCAGCTAATTTTTAAATTTTTTGTAGAGATGGGGTTTCGCTATGTTGTCCAGGCTGGTCTCAAACTCCTGGCCTCAAGGGATCCTCCCACCTCTGCCTCCCGAAGTGATAAGAGCCACAGAGCCCAGCCCGGCATTCACATTTGAGGATAAAAGCAGAAATGTTAATTTTTGAAAACTTAATATTCATATTCGAAACATTTTATTCCATGAAAACATTTTACACAAAAAAAATTTTTTAATGGTATCTTGGGAAGTAAGTAAATATGAATTTGTGTACCCATCATTATCCTACTCTGTGTTTATTTTCATATTCCTTCTGTGTAAAGTTCTATAAATTTTCTTCTGCCTAACATAAATGCTCACTCAAAATAATTCTAAACATGATGGGTAATAGCTTTAAATTTAATTATATAAGAACCAAAGCCAATCCGAGGTAATTCCTAGGAGCTTGGGAGATGGGATTTCTTAGCTTTATTTATTTCAAATGTACCAATTCATAAACTGTCAAAAAAAAAAAATGCTTTAGCTACCAGCAGGCATGGTGGTGCGTGCCTGTAATCCCAGCTGCTGAGGAGCCTGAGGCAGTAGGATCACTTGAGCCCAGGAGTTTAAATCAAGCCTGGGCAATATAGCAACATTGTCTCTTAAAAAAAAAAAAAAAAAAAAAAAAACCCAACTATTAATAAAACCATGCTTTGGCTATAAGCAATCCTTATAATAATTTTGAAATGCAGTAAAAGAATTTTTAACATACAGACTTACTGGTTAATATCCTTATAAAATATTAATTATAAAAAATGTAAATATGGGGAAGATTAAAAGTAGCTTTAAAAAGTAAAAAAAGAAAAAAAAGTCAGTTCCACCCCACTGGCAATCCCCAGAGGTAGTTAGTGTTAACAGCTGGCACATATCTAACTATATTTCTTTTAAATGTGGAATTTATCCCACACAGAGTATATGCAATGTAAACGTACAGTTTTAAGACTAATAATATACCTATCAGGTTACAGTCAGACCTAGAATACTCCCAGTAACCTTAGAAGCCTTACCTATCAAAAGCTATCTTTGTTGCCCTCATACTTAATAGTCAGGGTAAGATCTTTCAGATTAGAGATAATTTTCCTCAGAATCTAAAAGATATTGCTCCATCATACTCTCAAAAGCAACACTGGAAGTTAGAAGTGCTGATTTCTTACATTGGCCTATTTTCTTCTCTTTGGAAAACTGTAGCTGCTTCTTCGTCCTTGGTCTAAAACGTCAAAACCAAGTGCCTTGGTAGAGTGGTGATTTCTCCATCAAGGGAAAGAATTATGTTCCCTCCTCTTGAATCTCTACAGGCTCCAGTCTGTAGAACTGAGTACCACGGAAGTGACACTGTGTGACTTCCAAGGCTGGGTCGTAAAAGGCCTTGAGCATCCACTTGGTTCTCTTGGGCTGCTTGTCTGAGGGGACCAGTCAACCATGTAAGCCTGGCTACCCCACAACC